TAGAAATCTAGGAGAAAATGGTTCCCAATCGAATGATACTTGCGCGTTTACGTAAATGTATATCGATCCAGCCTTTCCAATAATTACCACTTTTCTATTCAACAATTTTTATGAGCTCGAGGCCGTTTTCAGTGAAAACTTATTGTGGAAAAGCAACAATAATTTGAAAAAATGGTAGAAGTGATAGCTATTTCGGAAATCACCACATTTCCTGATCAGACTTCTTTCAGTAGGATTCGAACCGATGATCACCACTGACTCAGCCAGTTGCCTACGCACTGTGCTAAGTTTGTCTTGTTAATTCTTGTTGCTTATTTTCCACTATTTCACTTTGCTAAGCCAACTACAATCAAGCGCAGCTATTCCGCTGCAATTCACTTGATCATGTGGTTGTTGGTTTTGTTGGTTTTTGTTAATATTTCTATTATTAGAATGTTTAACTTTTTAGGTATGCTCGTCCTTAAGTTATTGGTTTTTGTTATTTTTATGGCCTTTATAACAATTATATTCAACAATTTTTATGAGCTCGAGGCCGTTTTCAGTGAAAACTTATTGTGGAAAAGCAACAATAATTTGAAAAAATGGTAGAAGTGATAGCTATTTCGGAAATCACCACATTTCCTCATCAGACTTCTTTCAGTAGGATTCGAACCGACGATCACCACTGACTCAAAAATAAAAAAAATAACAAAAACAAATAACTTAAGGACGAGCACACCTAAAAAGTTAAACATCCTAATAATAGAAATATTAACAAAAACCAACAACCACATGATCAAGTGAATTGCAGCGGAATAGCTGCGCTTGATTGTAGATGGCTTAGCAAAGTGAAATAGTGGAAAATAAGCAACAATAATCAACAAGACAAACTTAGCACAGTGCGTAGGCAAATGGCTGAGTCAGTGGTGATCGTCGGTTCGAATCCTACATGTGGTGATTTCCGAAATAGCTATCACTTCTACCATTTTTTTCAAATTATTGTTGCTTTTCCACAATAAGTTTTCACTGAAAACGGCCTCGAGCTCATAAAAATTGTTGAATATAATTGTTATAAAGGCCATAAAAATAACAAAAACAAATAACTTAAGGACGAGCACACCTAAAAAGTTAAACATTCTAATAATAGAAATATTAACAAAAACCAACAAAACCAACAACCACAGATCAAGTGAATTGCAGCGGAATAGCTGCGCTTGATTGTAGATGGCTTAGCAAAGTGAAATAGTGGAAAATAAGCAACAATAATCAACAAGACAAACTTAGCACAGTGCGTAGGCAACTGGCTGAGTCAGTGGTGATCGTCGGTTCGAGTTCTACTGAAAGAAGGCTGACGAGGAAATGTGGTGATTTCCGAAATAGCTATCACTTCTACCATTTTTCTAAATTATTGTTGCTTTTCCACAATAAGTTTTTACTGAAAACGGGCTCGAGCTCATAAAAATTGTTGAATATAATTGTTATAGAGGCCATAAAAATAACAAAACCAAATTACCACTTTTCGCCATAACTACGGTATTGATAACATATGTAGCTGTGTAGAATTTCAGAACGTTAGCGTGAGCAGTTCCAGAGATAAGCTATATGACAAGTTCAGTTTTTATGGAAGGAAGGAGCCACGCCCCCTTTCCCAATGCATTTGCAATATATGCATCAGTGCTAAGTCTCAGTTCCCCAGCATGATCGGTTTTAGAGATATATTGGTTTTTTTACGTTTTAGTCTGTATAAGAACTTTAGGAATATCCCGAGCTACATACCGAGTAAATTTTTGGTCAGAATATTTATTTTCAACGTGATGCCAAATATGAACCAAGCAGTGTTGCCACTTGAGCAAATGTTTATGTACCAAAATGCCTACCAAATCTGTTTTCAAGCTACATCTTTCCATCATTAAAACGAAATTTCTTGAATTTAAGGGTTTTTGGCTACGCAAATTAGCAGTAAAAATTAAAATCTTTCTCTCAAGATAGGCAATTTTTCGTTAAATTTCAACAGCTGATCGATCATGTCTTTGGGAAGTGAGTAAACTCATATTTGGACAACTCCTACGTGTGACCAAATTGAAAGCAATTTTTGAACGTGGAAACGCAAAGTAACCCATCAAGCAGAGAAACGTAACTTTTACTGAGTGCAGTGCAATCTCGTACAATTTTCGTATCCGGGAACGAACAGGAAACGACTACAATTTTCGTTAATTCACGTATTCAAAATCGGTCAAAAGGCAATGCGGTTTTCGTATCCAGAAACGAACAGAAACGACTACAGTTTTCGTTCATTTTCGTATCTGGAAAACGATCGAATATGATGACGTAATTTGAAAGCAAAAACTGTATTTAAGTTTTTCAAGTAGCAGTGCAGAATAGTGTGCTAGTATTTGTTAGCTTTCTGACGGTGCCGTGTTCGATGCCGTCAGGTATTTCCTTAATTTACCTTTTTCCGAACTATGAAAAACCATCTGTTAAGTGCAGAAGGAAAGCGTATTGAACAAAAAATTCATCCAGAAAATTTTCAGAAAAATAGACAAAAACGCATCCGTTTCAAAACACATGTTTCTCCTATATATTTTTTCCTTTACGGATCCATTTCCGGCTTTTTTTTGCTGGCTGTGAAGCGAACAAATATTAGTGCTCAATTTGGTTGCGTTTCCAAAACATTTTTGCCTACCAAAAGCTTCATCAAACCAATCAAACTACCAAAGGAAAATGAAGCTACCAATTTTGGTCCAATTGGACCAAAACGGCAACGCTGGAACCAAGTCGATGCAGCCGTTTAGTAGTTTAGTGAAATACATTCTAGAGAGAACTGTATGAAATTGTAAAACGTGACGTCTCAGATTTCTTAATTTTTTGGCAGCAACAACGAAAAGTTTTAATTTTTTTAGCGAAAAACCTTCCACCCTGAAATAAAAAAAATTAAGTTTGTGGTTATATCAAGCCGAAATTTTGAGAACGGTCCGTTGCTAACTCTAAATATAAACAACGACGCACTGGAAAAAGGTAATACGTTCAAATACCTAGGAATAATGATCGACTATAAACTAAAACAAAAAAAAATTATACATCGGTGAAAACTGCATTTAATTCCATACATTAGCTTTTGCGTGATACGCCTACAAACATACAGACAAACATAGCAAAATTTTATATCTGGCTTCTGTTGATCTAATAAACCCCCTATTATTTTTTCTTTAACATCTATTATGTACAGATATCGGCCTGTTGCAATTTCATTATTCTCAAATACTCTCGTTTGATACCCAACACTTAGATTATATTATAAATTTAACTGAATTAAAGTTTTCAAATAAGTGGCAACACGCTGCAAGAATATTTTCAAAAGTAAGCTTCCTAATCCTTTTTAGTTTAATATTCGTATTGCAATATTTCATTTATTTTACAAATTTTAATGTATACAATTTTTCAATCAGTTGGCAAATACCCTAAAAATATTTTCAACATTAAAATTTCCTAGGCTCTTTAGTTTGATGCCAATAATGCAATATTTAATTTATGCTATCGATTAAATTAAATTAAAGTTTTCAAATAGGTGGCAACCTTCCACAAAAATATTTTCAGCTGTAAGCCTTTGTAAATTTCTTTCTTTTGACAGCCATATTGCAGTATTCACTTTACCGTATCAATTGACCAAAATTGAAATTTTAAACACAGGTGGCAACTCTCTAATTTTTTCTTCTATACAAGAAGTTAGATCTCTAGCGATACATCGGTGAAAACTGCATTCAACTCCATGTTTTCACCTGATGCGCGTACAAATATACAGACAGACAGAGATTCAAAAATTCCAAAAATTGTTTATTTGGCTTTAATAAAAACCCATCATATTAATTTTTCTTAATATCTATAAGGTACAGCCGTCGACCTGTTACAAATTTATTATATGTATAGATGTAGATATAGATTTCATTTATTTTATCAATTTAATACAATAAAATTTTTCAAACAGGTGGCAGCCCTCACTAAAAATATTTGCGGCAATACAATTTCCTAAACCCCTTCAGTTTGATACCCATATTGCAATATTCAATTTATCTTATAAATTAAATTAAATGTAAATTTTTAAACAGGTGGCAACTCTAAAAAAATATTTTTGGCTGTAAGCCTTCTTCAGCTTCTTTCTTTTGACGCCCATGTTTCAATATTCATTTGTTCTTATCAATTTACATAAACCCCAATTTTCAAACAGGTGGCAACTCTCTAATTTTTTTCTTTCTATATTTTAAGTTAGACCTCTAGAAATACATCGGTGGAAACTGCATTTAAATCCATGCAGTTATACGCGAACAAACATACAGACAGACAGACAAAAATTCTAAAAATGTTTGATTTGGCTTCTGGTGCTCTAATAAAGACCCCCACGTTAATTTTTCTTTAATATGTATAATGTACAGACATCGACCTGTTACAATTTTATTATGTGTATAGATTGTATTACTTTTAAATATACCGTTAAATACTTTTCAGATTGCACAAACTAGTGTTTGCATTTAAGTGTTACCCCCGGGTTTAAACATCGCATGGGTGACAAAGATGTCAGAAAAGCAAAGTCAGCTTCACAATTTCCCCGCTTGGTGGATTCCTGAACAGGCAAGCATCCTTGACACTCAGGAAATCATATACGAGTACATTCTTATATGTGCATATAGTTCAAATCTTATCTTACCGTTTTGTTATTATGTTTTACTTTCATATGATTTCTCTGCAATATAATTCTAAAATTAAACAATTAAATATGTAAGACGTATCATTTATATTTGTATCTGATCTCGTACTTATATCTGTTAAGATAGTGTAAAATTGCACAAATGCACGTGATTAAAAAATTTAAACTTGAAAGCAAGTTCTTGATACGTGTAACCTCATGGTAAGCAACAACTGTTTACGTGTTGTGCACAGAGTTGCCAGGTGTCCGGTTTTTGACCGAAAAGTCCGGCTTTTAGTTTGTTTGTCCGGGTAATAATGAAAACAAAAACCGGACTATTAAGTGTCTAGTTTTTTCTTATTCGAGAAGCAAAGTCTCCTCTTAAATATGAAAACTCATACGAAGTGCTCGTATGTTTTAAAAGTGACGCCGCAAATTCATGCAAAAGTCGGCGCAAATTGTTTTGCAACGGAATGGTGGCATGTGTATTGATTTGATCAGTCGATACTTTTAATTATTGATCGATACCGGTATAAAAATGCCGTAGAATATGGAAGCTGAAGGGAGTCTCGTCTAAAAAAAAGTCAAATTTAGAGGAGAGGATAGAGCTTTTAATGCTAAGTAAAATAGTAAATTTGTATATATACATTTACCGCATAGGTTTTAAAAAATCCTTACAGAGTACAGAGATATTGGATATAAACGATTTCGCGTACGGTTGGAACTGACCTCGACGCTATGCAAAGAAACTCCTTTTTTTATCGGAAGTATTATATTCCTGTGTCTATCGGAAGGGTAGAACGCATCTTGACAGAGAAACAAACTGCCTCGACGCATCCATCATCTGAAGAGAGATTTGCATTCACTTAAACGAATTTAAGAAAATATAATAGTGTAACAACATTCCTAATATTTATTAACGCAATCGGATAAATGTGTATTATTCAAATATCTCAATTCCTATGCCGATAGCTTTAGTGGAATTGGCTGAAATATTGGTTAAGAAATTTCAGGATATACATACTTATGTACAAGTGACGTTAAATAAAAGCTTGTAAAAATAAAGATTAGAAATAAGTTACTAACGCTGTAGGTTCAAATGAAAACTATTTGCAAAAGTTGTACGAAGGACTGACGCACATGGTATAATTTTATTTTAATTAATAAATCTACGCCTATTACAACGAAATTTATATTTAGTATGCTCTACATATCTTTATGCTTATGGTAAACTGTTTTGTTTTGTCACATGTAGTAACTAAAGTCCTCCACAAAGTTGTAAAATTATGAATCACACAGGGCGGGTTGGGTTAAAAGTGTTAGTACTTCACTAGAAGAGATATCTTCTAATAGGTTGAAAATACCACCCACTTCAAGATTGAAATATGTTGATGATTTAAACCAAGGAATTTTATTTTTGTAGGACTGGCGCCCTTAACCCATCCTCTCTTGTTGAAATATTTGTAATTCAAGTGTTTAAAATTTTCTTCCAGAGAATTGTAAAAGTTTCACCAATAAAAATAAATGCGATGTCTTTAACGTATTTTTCGTATTTTTGAAATTAAGAAACACTTTTAATTTTAAGGCTGGTTTCCACTATATCATATTTTGACGCCAAAAATTAAGGACATATTTTGACACAACTTTATCTCTTTTATCCATAACCTTACCAATGATATTATGGTAGAAAAACGGAGCGATAGCCGATTTAGCAGCGCATGTGCACAACTAAAGACCTATACTGATTGAACTCAATCAATATACTGCATTTTAATCCCATCTGACACGGTTTTTTTTTAATTATTTGACGACAAATGTCATTGATTTGGACATAATGAAAACAAGCCTTTATGATAATATGATCTGTTTCAACACACACATTTATAACCGCCACCTCTACTCCATCTCCAATTCATTCTCTTGCCAAACGTGTCCGGTTTTATTGAGCCTCTGACCTGACAACCCTGAATCTTCATAGCTCAGTGGTTAACGCTTCTGACTTTGGACATCGATGATGCGGGTTCGATCCCTGCTGAAGTCTATGAATAAGAAGTCTTATGACTGCTTTAACTTCTGCCCCTTAGACTTTGTTGCTTTTTCCATTTTTCTTAATAAACGAGCTCAAAGCTATAAACTCAATAAGAATATTAAATTAATTACCTGTTAATAAGCCACAATAATTTGACAAGAAAATATAACCTTCACACAGACGTTAATTTTTCAGCAACCTTGAATATTTTAAGTCATTTGATAAACTAATGTGGGAATCTTAATTTATGGATTAAAAGACATTATAATCCAACAATAATTACAGTAAATGTAATTAATTCTTATATCTACCATATGAGCGCACTTACAAAGTTAATATATATATGTATATACATATATAACTTTGGACACTGCGTAAAAAGTGTAAGAATTTTGTATTATTTACTTTTATTATTAATACTCGAAAAATTATCCTTAATAGCTTTATCGGCAAATTCGAACCAAATTATGTCCCGATGTTTTTTGTTACTAAATGAATTTCATTTGAAAGATCTTTCAATTATGTTGATTCGATGTTTCCCAACCAGCAGAGGAATGTACGTTTTGCCGACAGTGCATTTTTTTGTACGTGCAGAAAACTATTTAAATTTTCGTTCATTCTTTGTATTCGAAAAACTTCTGAAAGTAATTATGTAATCTGAAAAACATAATTTTAAAATATTTATTTAAACTAAACGCTTACATGTTGTAAACTCATTCTGGCATTAGCTGAGGTTTCAAAAGAGCGTGCTCCTTTTTGTTAGCTTTCACTTAGCCCTAGTTTGAATGCCGTCAGACGCAACAAATTAAAATTATATAGACAGTATTTATTAAAATTTAAATAATTGCTGAATCTAATATTTGTTTTGTATTTCGTTTTCTGTAACTATGCAAACGCTTTTGTGAAGTTCAGAATAAAAGCGTTTTGATCGAAAAATGTAATCAGAAAAAAAGCCGAAAACGTATTTTTTAATATTTTCGATACTTTTCTAGCAGCTTCGGATGCACACATGTAATTGTTTCCATCTTCAAAAACGTTTCCGGATAATTTGCAGACTGGGTTGCTATTAGAAATTTAAATTGAGTTTTCATACATACGAATGTTATATACATATGTAATCCTATTGCTTCGTTACCGTAGCAATTGGAGTACAGTGCAATGTTATTACTTAATGTCGTTGAGTTGTATGTATAAAAATATGTATGCATGTATGCAAGTTAACTGAATGTCGAAAATGTTTGTTTACTAGGGTGATTTAATTCATTTTCTTGAAACCATTTTTTTTCTATTTTGAGGCGTTTTTATAGTTTGAACCAATTTACAGGACGACTTTTCACCCTGCGTTTTTTGCACATTCCTTTTAAAAAAGTTTTCCAAAATCCTCGTGCATTTACGCGATGACCTTTCTCTGCGGTCAACTGGTCAACTCTCTCGTCCTCATTTTTAAAGCGGAGCAAAAAAACCCTTCGATTTCGCTCACCGGGCAAGCTTGCCTACCCCGTGGCTTCTCTACACTTCTTGCCTACAAGCTCAACACGCATGATTTTCCACCCTGGGTGAAAAGTCATCGTGTTAATTGGCTCTTTGTCCTCATAATAGATGTATGTAATATTCTAGAGGAATAAATACATAGATATACTATATACATAAATATGTTAGGGTGTCCCTTAAAATTAAACCTATTAAATTTCTTCTTTTTGATACGTGGCAGACATTAATGCATTCATATATTACAAAGAAAGCGCGGATAAATAAAGCTAGTTGGAAAGTTCATCCTTGTCATTTACCTTGTCCTTTAGATTGTCAAAACGAGTGCACTTACCTTTGTTATATATTAAAAATAGAAAAATAAAGATTGCGGAAAGCTTATTGTCTTCTACGGGTAATACATCGCGGTAGGGATAAACCAAAGCTTATGACAGGGGATGTAGAGAGTAACGCCTCAGCCAGAAGCCTCCATTGTGATATATTAGAGAGACCTTAAGTACACCACATCTACCTTCCTCTGTAAATGGTTCATTTATACTCCCCGAAAATTCAAGGTTCTTAGTCCGCTGGGAAATCGTTTAAAAGATACTTGAGACTACATTGTCGTAACTAGGACAAAGCAGGACAATGTCAGAGATGTGCTCGATGCCCTTAACCTTCTCCTCGTTCCTGCAACTGTGGTAGAAACCATTAGAGTGGAAACCTTTACACCTTCGTATATTTCAATTGAGCAGTGTCCGTGGATGAAACTAACCTCGGAGATAATGGAGTGACAATCAAAGAAAACTTGAGACTATATCTTTTTCCATTAATTGGGGCTGAATTGAACAGTTAGGCACGGTGCACATTAGAGCGATACGATACGCGATACGATATGCGATGCGATAAGCGATATGATATAAAAGCGACACTACGGCGACATATATCGCTTGCGTATCGGCCGTGCGACAATGCGGCGACATATATCGCGTCTCTATAGGCCGAGCGAAACAGTTTTCTATCACACCGCATATGGTATGGCGTGTCGTATCGCTGCAATTTGCACTGCGCGCATGTCGATGTCGCTTTCATATGGTACCGTCTATCGTATCGCTCTGATGTGCACTAGCGTGGGCCGAAAATTCGCTTTTTTAGAATTGTGATTGATAATAGCAAAATTATGGTTCACAATGCTCTAGGTTAGGTTAGGTTAGGTTGAAGAGGCTGCCTTCATCCAACATAAGAGAGAGGCACCCTTAGACCCAGTGGGTCCGTTGTGATACCAATTGAGAGCTCGAATTCGAACCCGTCCGTTCGCCTAGAAGTGGAACCAGTTGGTTAGGTTTATAATTCGCGAGAATTCGTAAATGCCTGCTTCACTAAGATCCGCAAGACAATCAAAACGGTGGTGCTGAAATGAGCGTCGTCTCGCCCACATGAGGGCGGGGCAATGACAGAGATAGTGTTCCAGACTCTCGATTTTGTTCTCGTCGCGGCAACAATGGCAGAAATCATTAGCCGGAAAACTCATTCTGCTAGCATGCCTTCTCATTAAGCAGTGGCCCGTAATTATACCGGTCACCAGCCTTAGTACAGGCCGTTCTAGCCGAATGAGTTTGTCGAGTCGTCCCACACGTGGGTTCTTCCGACCATCTTTTGTTTGCCCTCTCCACGTAGTATGTCCAGAGCCGTGTCTTACAGGTAACACCCGACAGGGTAGTTACCTTCCGCGCAAGCTTGTCCGCCGCACAGTTACCCTGAAAGTGGCCCGGCACCCACACGATGTGAGTAGTAGATTTTGAAGCTAGATCGTTAAGGACTTTCCTATATTCTAAAGCAGTTGTAGATGATGTCTTGCAGCAATCCAATGTTTTAATAGCTGCTTGGCTACCGGAGTATATGGTTACTTTTAACATTGGTAAGCTTAGAATTTGTGAGCGATTTATTCAGTGATTTCCACCAGACTGTGACGCGGTAGAATAATATAGGACGTACCACTACTGTGTAAATCCAGTGAACTATGTGTGGTTTGAGACTCCATTTCTTGCCTATAGCCGTCTTGCAGGAGTAGAGGGCGGTAATGGCCTTTTTGGCCCGCTCTTCTACGTTACGTTGCCGGGTAAGTTTCCTGTCCAAGATGACGCAAGTATTTCACTTAGTCAGAGAGCGGCAGCTCTACGCCATTTAAGGCCGGAAGTTGAAATGGGGGGATTTTTGTTTTCCGTGTGAAGAGAACCGTGACCGTTTTAGCCGGGTTGGCGTTCAGACCGCATTCTCTAGACCAGATTTCCACGATACTCAAGGCGTTCTGCAACAGTTCTCCCATGATTTGTGGGTGCTTACCTGTTGCAGTTAGGGCAAGATCATCGGCATACGCAATAGCGTTGCAGCCTGAGCCCTGTAAGCGCATGAGTAGGGTGTTTACCGTAAGATTCCAGAGGAGTGGTGAGAGTACTCCTCCTTGAGGAGTGCCCCTAGTCGCATATCTTGTGATATGAGCTCCACCCATCTCCGAATAGATAGTTCTCCGATTAAGGAGAAGACTGATAAAGTCTACGAGTGATCGATC